GGGTCTATTCTCATACGTTTATTTTCAGTTGATTCAGCTCAGTTCAATTTGATAGAGAATATCCATAGAATATTCTTATCTTAGGCTTAGGATATATTTTGTATAAAATTATCTTTGATATCTGTACATATCTTATGTTACCTAATATGATTAGGTTTCTCATTGTAACCCTATAAATATTGATCAATGGAAATCACTCTAATCAAGGAGTTTACATTATCTGACATGGTATCACAGCTTAGATGAGATCTTGGGATCATATACAAAAATTCTCACCCTGCCGGTGGGTTAGAAAATTAAACCCACCGGCGGGATATACACAAATTTTTTATGCTTCTGCAACCACACATATATAGATTTTTTTTTCTTTTCTCAAAGTTTTTTTTTAAAAAAAAAAAATCTTTATGTAGCCTTGCGCTTCCCACCAATAGTAGCAACCGCGAAAGCCGCCTCCATCATTGGTGGCAATCGCATACACTACCGCCTCCCACTACTGGCAGTAACCATATCTGCCAACCTACTCCATGTGCTACACTCTATTTCCACCTCCTCATGACCAACAATGATTCTTACATTGCCCCATTGGTTTTTCTACACATAATCACATAGATTTTGTTTTGGTGGTGGTATACCAGAATAACGTCAGCTTTTGCACATCTCTTTTGCTATCAAGTTGGCTCCTCTTATTGTTGCAGCACTTGGAATCTTTGTGGAGTATTGATTCTTGCTACCTAGGTTTCTCTTTTGAGAATTGATTAATTTCAAGCGGTGGAATTTAATCGTTTTCTTGCGCAATTTTATTTGTTTTTCTTCAACTGTGATTTCACGTAGTAGTGTAGTGTCTTCTTCCCGATGATGGTTTGATCCCTTAGCTTCTTCTTCTCTGGATCTGCAACTTAGCCCAAGTCTGTGTGCGGCTCTTCTCCTTCTCCTCCGGCCTAGCAGTGCTTATCTCTACTCTATGTGGGTCATGGCTGTTGCTTCTCTCGTCATCACCGGCACATGTCTACTACTTCCCTTTTGATCATGGGTTACCATACTATCCTTACCACTCGATGCGTGATTCAGATCCAGTCGTGAGCATCCGATTTTCTCCCACTCCGACTGCGGGGGTATGATAGAGAATATGCATAGAATATTCTTATCTTAGGTTTAGGATATATTTTGTATAAGATTATCTTTGATATCTGTACATATCTTATGTTACCTAATATGATTAGGTTTCTCATTGTAACCCTATAAATATTGATCAATGAAAATCACTCTAATCAAGGAGTTTACATTATCTGACACAATTCATCTTCTAATTTCTTTCTTTTATAAAATATTCAGTTCAATTCAGCTGAATTTAATCTATGAAAACAGGCCCTAAGACACTATATTATGTATTTATACAAAACATTATGTCATTTATACAAAACACTTCGATTAAAGAAGTAGTATTTGATTATAGTTGATAAGAATTTTATTTTACGACCTTAATAGTTAACTAACATGATTTCTATCTACTAATTTAACGCGTTTTATCTATAAGAGATATCGATTTTGTACGAGAGAATTCAAGAAGAATTTATGTTCAATTATACGAGAGATTGTGTTTGTTAATGTCGGACAACAAGATTTGGGGTTGAAATTTGAAAACCGGGGGTGTGTAACTGTGTACACATCTAGTACACGTGAACACGTCAAAGCAAGTAGAAGATGAGGCATATAATGGGCGGGCTGAGTTCTGATTATATGGGCTTCACCTATGGTGGAGAAGCACGAGAAGGGACCTTGGGCTTTATATGATGGTGCAGAACATGGGCTTTAATAATGGTAGATTTGTGTGTATAATGGTTAATTCAGCTTACTTTGATAATTAGGGCCTGTTCCGATTGACTGAACTCAGCTAAGCTGAATTGAACTGAGCTGAACTGAACTAAACTGAACTTATTAATTAGTGATTTTTAATTACGAATTAGTGATCTTTGATTATTTATTGATTATTTATTACTATACATATGTGTATATACAAATGTACATATTAATAATAATAATAATAATAATAATAATAATATTATTATTATTAATTATTGATTATTATTATTATTATTATTTATTGATTATTGTTACTATTATTATTATCTCAAAAACAAAAGTCATACAACCTACAATAAATTAGTGGGAAGCCGAGATACAATCTAGGCCCCCACTCCTCTAGCTATTGCAAATCCTACCCTACTGAAGATATGAGCTGCAGCACGAGCCCCAATGTCTTGCGTTGTCGAGAACCTCTGAATCCGCTTTAGTAACGCAACAACCTCTTTTTCTAATTCCCTAAGCGAAGAAAAGGAGAAGGGAATGAAACCATATCCAATCGCCTGACATCGAGCTTCATACTTAACCCGCTTTCGATGAGCTACATCAGCCACAACCCGCCCAGGAATGAAGTCAGATAGCCCTGACTGTGTCAAAGGAGAAGAACCTGTCAAATCAACACAGATATCGCGACCACGATCCCATGAATAAAGTAACACATCCGCGGGTCTGAGGGCCTCGTCGTTCCCTCCGGCCAACCCAATGTCAACCTCTTTTCTCGCTGAAATCCCAGAACGATAGCAAACATCAACAAGGTTATTATTATTATTATTGTTATTATTATTATTTATTGATGATTATTATTATTATTTATTGATTATTATTATTAGTATTATTATTTCAATTATTATTGTTGTTGTTATTATTATTATTATTATTATTATTATTTATTGATTATTATTATTATTATTATTATTATTTCAATTATTATTGTTGTTGTTGTTGTTATTATTATTATTATTTATTGATTATTATTATTATTATTATTATTATTTATTACTTATTGATTATTATTATTATTATTATTATTATTATTATTGTTATTGTTATTATTATTATTATTGTTGTTGTTGTTGTTGTTGTTGTTGTTGTCGTCGTCGTTGTAATAAAAGGTTAAAAGAATGAAATTTGGCTTTATATCATTAGCAATATCATTAGACGTAAATTAAGAGCTGAACTGAACTGAACCGAACCGAACTGAACAGAATTTCAACGGAAGAGAACAGGTCCTTACTCTCCCTAACCCTTTTCGATTGCTCCATAGACCAATGTTCAATGTCTTAGAAGTATTAGTTTAATTACGGAGTATTATTGAGTTCGTTTGCTAATGCATAGTTATGTTGATCATAAATACAGAGTATCATTTTTACAAAAGGATCTACTTTCCAAAAATATACTTCCTCCGTTTTCTTTTAGATACAACACACATTTTTTTACGGTATTTAAAGAATGTGGGGTTCACATGATATAATACACTTTAAAATGAGATGGGTGGTTGTTAGGAGTGTAATTTAGTGGGTCATGTGTTTTAAATAAGGGAAATAGTATAGTTTTTCCCTAAAGTAATTTTCCTTTTATAGTGTGTTGCAAGTATTGTGACATTTCTTTTTAGAAAAGTGTTGCAAGTAAAAGAAAACGGAGGAAGTATCATCATAGTTGCTAATAACGAGTAATATGAAGTAAATATACAATTACAGATCTTGATTAAATTAAATGTTACTACCTCCGTTTTTATTTAATTGACACGTTTTGACTTTAACACTATTCACACACCTCCCTTTGACCATGTTTTGTGCTTTATACGTAATGGGGATCTTGTAAGATTCGGCACGTTCGATACTTTCAAACTATCAACTTTTCATAATTTTTGCTTATCGATAATTAAATATATTAATGATTGAATAAGTGCATTTGCAAACGTGATTAAAGAAACGTGTCAATTAAAAAGAAACGGAGGAAGTAGTTAAGGAGTTATATCAAATGACACAAACACCCTTTCCCTTATATCAAGTTTAAATCGATTAAGAATATATACTACGTATATGAAATTATGAATGGGTAAATTTGATTGCTCCATAGAGCAAGGTTCAATTTACAAGGAGATTTCTTAATTAAAAAAGTTACTTCCAATATATTCGTGTAATTTTTGTTCTAAAACTGAATTATCATAGTAGTTGCTAACTACGAGTAACACAGAGCAAATATGCAGCCTCAGATCTTAATGTCATGATGATCAAGGAGTTATCTCAAACGTGCTTTACATACACCCTTCGTAACAAGTTCACATCAATGTTAAAAAAATCGTAACGAGAAAATTAAATTTGATTACTTGAAGTCAAATTTCGTACTCCCTCCGTCTCTAAATGATAGTCGGGTGAATTTTAGTCCCAAAATGTTCACCCAATTTGTTTTTTCAACAACTACTAATATTACTCCCTCCGTTCCAGAAAGAACGACCCATTTGGGTTGATTTCGCGGTTATTAAGAAAGTTAAATAAAAAAGATGTAAAAGTATATTGGAAAGATAAATTTACACGGAGTTTGTAAAAAAGTAGAGAGAAAAAGTAATAAAAGTATATAAAGAAACAAAATTTTATACGGGAAAGCTAATTTTGCACAAATATTATTGCAAATTGGTGGGCATTTTAATTCAAATGAGTCATTCTTTTTGGGACTAAAATTAGGCCAAATGGGTCGTTCTTTTGGGGACGGAGGTAGTAATTTTTTTACCAAAATTCCCTCCAATTTGCAACAATATTTGTACAAATTTAAATTTTCTATGTAAATTTTATTTTCCTATGTACTTTTATGGAGTATTATTTTCTCTTTCTACATTTTTGCATACCCAATGTCAATTTATTTTTTAAATGTACTTTTACTATTCTTATTCAAAAACTTTTGTATACACCCGGTTTACACTAATTTTACTGTGCATCGAGCAGTATAAAGGTAACTTTTACCTAATTTAAGGGTAATTTTTTGCTTTTTAGGTAACTTTTAACATAATACAATTTTTTATATAAATAGTCAATAAGAAAAGTTTTATAATGGTAATTTAATTACATTTAATCACAAATAATTGATTTTTTAGTCATTTAAAATGTGATTCTTTACTAATAATTTTTATTTGTATTGGATTACTTTTATGCGTATTAGGGTAACTTTTATTTATTTTAGGGGTAACTTTTGATCAATCTAGTCTGTCTTTGTAGTGGATATACAATACTTATTGTACACCCGATTTTTTTTTTAAAGTTTGTGATTCCTATTTGTGTTAATTAATTCCCGTAAAAAATGCCTATTAGAGACTATCAATAGTGGACAAAGTCCAATGTATATTTATCCTAAACTTTTTCAAAAAACAAAAATAAAAAAATAAAAAAATTCGGTAAGTCGGTTAAGACTTAAGAATCTCACTCTTTAACTTCCTTTCCCCTTTTCGTCCATTCCATTTACTCCGTACATTTCTTGGCTCTCGCAATAATAAGAAAGTAGAATTCTTTAATGGCGACGATGAAGCGCGAAAATCCAACAGCAAACGAACAAGAGCAACCCCATTCTAAGAGATTAAAGAACGATCTTCGTGTTGTCCTCAATCCAGCCGACTGTGATTTGGGTAATTTATCTTTTTAAACTCCATAATTCTTTGATTTCTGTATATTTTAATGTATTTTTTCATTATTTGTATGAAATTTTTGTTTTTGATTTGGAATTAATTTTTAATTTTGCCCCCAAAATTCCATCTTTTATTTTAAGTTAATTGTTGGGAATTTAGTGTTTATTTGTTTGGCTTTAGCCCTTGATTTCCCCCCTGAAAATCCTATGAATTGATTTGAACTTTTTTCTGGGGTTTTGATAAAATTTTAGTTAAAGAACATTATGCTAAAAGAATTTGATTAGTAATTGGACCTCTGAAAATTAGGTTGATTATACTGTTACAATCTTTTCTTGTTCTATGTTGAATTGAAGTTGAGATGGGAAATGTAAAAATGTAAAATGATACGGAGTATTAGTAGAGTATGGAATAGGTGCGCTGTAGAATTACATTTGGCTTTTTTGAGGGAGATGCTTTGCACTTGTCTTTAGAATGTGCTCTACACCTTATGAAGGTGCCATCGATGGCTGGGGTAGGGATTTTTTCTTTGAAAAGGGGTGTTTCCGTGCAAGATTTTTCGTAGTGTAGATGCTTCATTGCATAAAGTGGCTTGGTGGTATGGAGATGGTGCTGATATCTAGAGGCTGATTCATGTATGATCTTTATAGCATATTGATGGAGAGTTTTTGGTAATATGGTTGATTGTTTTGTGTATGAGGAAGTGGTTTTAAGTGTTGAAACAAATGATGGCTTGAGTTGTCAAAGTGTGGCATTATTCATGTAAGGTTTGGATGTTTTTGAGGGGGCATTATTATTCATAGATTTGGTGACGAGCCATAGACATCCTATCTTGAAAAAAGCTTATTTGAGGGTCATTATTATTCATGTAAGGTTTGGATGTTTTTGAGGGTCATTATTATTATTATTATTCATTGTTCGTGTATTTTTTTTGCCAAAGGGTTGTAGATTAGTGTGGGAAAGAGTAGATTTTTCTTTGAAGCTGGCGAGTGGCATTGGCTTTGAGGCACCTTACAAGCTGGGTTCATGACGGAATTCCCCAACCTACTTGGAAATAGGAGATTGTGAAGCTATGTGACAAAAAGGGTTGAATCATAATCTATATAGTTAAGAGACTGTTGTTACTTGTTGCGTAGATGAAGCAGCTTGAAACATCTCGTCTCGTAGAGGAGAATTTGAGTGAATTAGGTTATCAGGCTCTTAACGTTTTTTTTTTTTTTTTTTTTTTTTTTTTTTTGGAAATTATCAATGATACCCTCGTCGTTTTGACTTTTATCAATGATACCCTTCATTAAACTTTCATTATCAGCGGTACCCCTATAATTTTACATTAATTGCTACAGTAACCATGCCGTTAAACAAACGTTTAGTACAATCATTTGACATGTTTAATGGGGTGGGAAATGTCAAAAATAGTTAAATGCCCCTGTCATTCAATCTCTTTCCAAAACCCAAAAGTTTTCTCTCTTTTTTTTTTTCTTTAATTCCCTCTTTCCTGTATAACCTTTACCCCTTATATTTGCTCCTCCTAAAATCATACATTAGATCATTAAATGAAGTTGAATTCATAGTAGTACCAACTAAAATCTCATACACAACAACATTTGGACATGTCCTAAAGAACTTCATTAAGTCAACATCATCTATTGGCTAGTGTTTATCTCATCTATAAGCATAAGCAAAAATAGGGTTCAGTATAACTACTCCCTTTTTTTGTCACTTATCTTCAAATTCTATGATTAAATCCATTAAGTTACATTCATCAGGGTCCACTTCAATATCAATTCTATGCACCTTATACTTAAATCGAAACACAACCTTCTCATTCTCATTCTCATTCTCATTCATTCTGCAAAATCAGTATACAATCACTTTATTTAACCACACCAAAACATCACAATACAATTTCACACACAACACCAATTTTAATATCCGAAAAGATTAAAAATTTAGCAATTACTTTGCAAAATCAGAAATAACACTGTTACATGCAATCATAAACACAATTTCACACTCAAATGTATTTTAATATCAGAAAAAAAAAAAAAAAATTAGCAATCTAACATGATCATATGTAAATAACCATAATTCAGAGCTAAATTTAACGTTTGTTTAACGACATGGTTACTGTAGCAATTAAGGTAAAATTATAGGGGTACCGCTGATAATGAAAGTTTAATGAAGGGTATCATTGATAAAAGTCAAAACGACAAGGGTACCATTGATAATTTCCCTTTTTTTTTTTTTTTGGGGGGGGGGGGGGGTACACCAGCCTAGTCCTTCAAAAGTTCAAATGAAGTTTCCACAAAAATATTTTGTTGGTGTCTTGGTTAGAACCCTACTGAAAAGGTCTGGTTTATTTGCAATTGTTGATCAGATCAGAGAAATGATCTCATGATGCTTTTAGAATCCTTCCTCTACAAATGTAGTCTTGGGGTCTGGTGTATTTGCTATGTTGCTGTTGCTTGCTAATCTTGTGTTGGAGTGAATGTCGTGGAATTGGTGAAGAGGATAATTTTATAACCTGATGAGATTTGTCTCACGTGTTGGCTAAGTTAAAGAAATGTGATCTGGTAAGAGAAAAAATGGGGATAGATGCACTGATTTCATTAGGTTTATATCCTAATGTTACATTACCTACGTACTAGCTTTGAAATGTTGTGTTTATTTTCTATGTTTGAAATAATGTAACATTTAATTTTACCTTAATTTTCTAGACATATAAATGATGTCTCATGACTATGTACAATGCTTAATTGAAGAATTTTTGTTTTTATCTAATTAACTTGAGATTTCAGAAGATTGTGCTTTTTCTCCATACTTTCTTGGCTTCATGTTGTCTACTGGTTTATAAGTATGTTTGCTGTTGGTGTGGCCTTACATTTTTTTCTTCCAGCTTTCAACATTGAAGCTGATGGCCTCACAGGGCATGCTCTTTACGAGCAGGGATTTGCTTATTGTTGGTCTGGTGCTCGGGGAAATATTGGAATTACTGGAGGGAAGTACTATTTTGGATGCAGAATCATCTCTGATCAGCCTGTGATAATGGAAGAAACTCCTCTTGACCAACAACATGTTTCTCGCATTGGCGTTTCAAGAGGTGATGCTCCTGTTGGAAACCTTGGTGAAACTAAAGGTAGTTTTGGGTACGGTGGAACTGGGAAATTCTCAACTAATGCCAAGTTTGTGGATTATGGTGAGAGGTTTGGCATTGGTGATACGATTACTTGCTTAGTGGATCTTGAAAGTAAACCTTGTGCTTCAGTGGAGTTCTCTAAAAATGGGAAACGGTTAGGTATTGCAAAGTATCTTGATGAAGACCCTAAAAGTCCTGGAGCGGTTTCTCCAACTGGAAATTTATCATGGAAATCAGCCCTCTTTCCTCATGTTCTGCTGAAGAATACTGTGGTTAAGATGCAATTTAGCACAGAAGACGGACTAGTTCCTGAAGAAGGGTACAAGCCATGGGCCTCTGCTGTGAACGATGGAAATGCAGTGATTGGACCTGCTTTTTCCGACTCTCAAGCTTGTGAGGTGATAATGATGGTTGGATTACCTGCTTCAGGAAAGACTACCTGGGCAGAAAATTGGGTGAAAGAGCATCCAGAAAAACGTTACATTTTGCTTGGAACAAACTTGTCCCTTGATCAGATGAAGGTTCATTTGCTGTTTCTTTTACTTTTCGGATTCCTCTCTTTTTCCATGACTTTTGTTTAATGCTTGAATAACATAATAACATGCCACAGGTTCCAGGTTTGCAGCGAAAATCCAATTATGGTGAACGCTTTGATCGGTTAATGGATCGGGCAACTGGAATTTTTAACACATTATTGTCAAGGGCATGTAAAGTACCTAGGAACTACATCATTGATCAGACTAATGTTTACAAAAGTGCTCGAAGGCGGAAATTGAAGCCATTTGCAAACTTCCACAAGGTATCTATGGTAATTTTTTTCAGGCAATTGATGTATTTTGTTCTTCTTTCAAGTTGTTAATTTTCTTGTTTATCAATAGATTGCTGTAGTGGTCTTCCCAAGACAAGATGAGCTAAAGTTTCGTGCTGAAAAACGATTTAAAGAAATGGGTAAGGAAGTACCTCCTGAAGCAGTTAATGAGATGTTAGGTATGCCTATTTCTATTCATGTTGATTATTTTTATTCTTACCCCTTATATATGAGATGTAAACTTTATGATCCCTCTTTTTCATTTTGGCAGCTAATTATGTTTTGCCTATGAGCAAAGACATGCTTCATACGGAAGAGTATTTTGATGAGGTAAATGTGCATGCTGTACTTGGTGTGGATATTGAAGCTAATTGTAGCTGTATTAATGGTCAATTTAACCCTTTGGTGTTTGCTAAATGGCCAAGTATTTGCCTAATGTATTTAATAATATTCAAAAATCTTATTTTTGATGATGATATTACTGTACTAGGTCATCTTCACAGAGCTCAGTAGGGGTGAGGCACAGCAGCAGCTTGATGAGATGAAGCGTGCCCCTATATTGTCATCTAGCATGAAGTCCAAGGGTGATCATTCATCATATTCCCGTGAAAGTTCTGTCCATTCAAATTTTAGGTTGTCAGCTTGTGGTCCTGGACAACCCTACTCACAATATTCAAGCCCCTCGTTAGGACTTCAAACAGGTATTTTACTTCACTCGATTGCTATTTAATTGACATACTCGATACGTTTTTCCCCCTCCATTTTCTTCATACTGACATTATTTGTTTTCATGGATCTTGCTCCATCTAAGATTTTGGGACAGGCTCTTGGATTGGTCCTCCTGGACATGCTTTGCAGCCAAATCCTGCCAACGTGAGTTCTAAGGCCTGAATCATGCTAAACAAGTCTTACTCTGATTTTCTATTTTATGTTCTAGTTGGAAACTAACCTAATTTCTTCTTAACACAGGCAATTAGAGGATATACAGGGCAATCTGTCGCATTAGAGTCAGTGCAGCCTCGTCCCTTGAACTATGTGAGTAGAGAGATTCATGCATCTGTGGGTCTTTTTCTTTTCTTCTATGTTTTTCAATTCGAGTTTTGGCTTTATGTGAGGTGGTTGGGTTTCCTTTAAGTGTTTGGGATAGTGTCTAATCTATTATGATCTCTGTTCAAATTTTATTTACATCATTTTAGCTTCCTATTATTGATTTTGTGTTCTGCTTTACCAGTCCATGTTACTGGAAGGACACTTTATGAAGGTGAAGGCTTTTTATTGTGGAAACAAACTTTGAAAATTATGGAAACCACTTACTGTAATATGACCCTCTTTTAAATTATTCTCTTTTGAATTTTTTTATACTTCTAATTTTTTGCTTTTCCTTGCAATCTCTCTTTAAATAACCTAAAGGTGCCCAAAATTTATTACATGCCTTATTGACTACATGCATAATTACCCGTGTGCATTGCAAATTTTCCACATTTCTTACCCACCTGAAAATATATGTTTTCTTGTTACCTTTAATATGTATTCCAAATTTGACTCTACAACAATATATAAAAATGATATTTACTGTTGATGCAGGTAAATACCAGATATGAAAGCCCTGGATTTTCTGGCAGAATAGAAGCACCAGGGTCCTGCTCCTATCCTGGGAGTTTGAATTCAATGCCTCCCAGGAATTGTCATCCTGGAACATATTCAAGCTACAGTAGTCCTGCTCTCGGGAATAATTTCACGCAGCTTGACGGTGGAAACTATTTGTATGATCCTCATAGAATACATGAATCTGCCTGCTCTTATGGAACCAGATACGGAAATAGTGCAGAAGAAGCAATTTTAGCTAACCAATTTAATGGTTAGATTCCTCTTCTACTTACGTGATTGATGTTTTACCTCGCACCACCACTTTTTTACCAGTGAGATGGATATGTGATTTGCATCACTAGTTCTATAAAAAATTATATACACTCGGATGTAAGGTGCACCCAAGGGCATTTTCCACTGAATCAGCAAAAAAAACTACCTTTGGGTGCATCTGCGGCTTATATCTATGTGCACCCGAGTGTATATAAAAGGTGGTGTGTATGAGATAATTTGCTCTTGAAGGACCCAGACCTCTGTGACTAGCTTTACATCACTGTTATACTCATTTACACCTGTAAATTACCATAGTCGGCCACAGCATGATATTTAGCAAAGTATAGATTATCATTCAAGCAAATGTAGGTGGTGAAAAGTGAAAACACCTAGAAATAAAAGAGATCAAATTATTTGGGAAAGTCAAATTATTCAAATGGATTCCTGATTTCTTGCATGTAATCGTTGTGGACCTGTGTGATTATCTCAGCCTTTAGGCAACTCAGGCCCTTAGCAATGAAAAAGGTGGACATGTTATTTTCAGCATTGAACTTGAATTGAATATGTTTCTTATGTATATCTATATTTGCAGTTTCGCAAACCCCATACTCAAGGCCTCAGGGAAGTTACTCTGCTGATGTGCGGCATCCTGGAGCTGCACTATACCATCCTCCTAGATATTACTAATTGCTGGTGCTGCTCTCAGGAATCGAGATAATACTTAGCTTTGCTGATCATGGAGACTGATGTGTAAATGTTTTGTGGATAACTCTTTAAAGTGAGTACTATTGGCTTATGCGCCATTTGATCCTTTTTGTTCTTCCTATTTTGACTTTTTTTGTCTCGCAAAAGGATTCTAAATGGGAAGAACAAAAAGGATCAGAGGAAGTGACATATCTTGTCTTGTCACACAATTTTATTTTTGTCCCATAATAATAGTTGATTTTTCTTATAGTCCCCATTGAAATCTTATTAACACAGGGTTTTATCACAATCTTTTCATTTTTTGAGAAAGTGAAAGTCATTATCCTTTGGGAGTTTCATGTGGATTAAGAGTTTGTTTCACCAAGCTTTTAGAAGGTTTTCGTAACGTCTATTTCCTCGAAGTTCTCCAAAAATAATTTCTATAAAATGTAGGAACATCGAACACCTTCATGTAGTATTAAGTGTATTTTTTTAATGTTGGTTTACCCATTGTGTATAATATGATATTATAATAATATAATGTACTATTTTCTTTCCCAATTGTTTGAGTAGAGTTGATTAGGTCAAGAGAAAAGTAGTTGAACCTAAAATGTAGTTTTGTGAAAATATAATTGTGATCTTAATGGACATATATTTTAGGGAATAGGGACAACTTAATAAAAAATATGAGGCAATCTTTAAAAGACAGAGAAGTCTAAAGTTAAGGCCGTCATTCAATTAGTTGAACAAATTAGATGCGCAATCGTGTACATAGTTATTTCCATGTAAGCTTGAGTAACATACTAATATAGAAAAGAAACCATAGAAGACCTTTCTTACAGTTTCCTATAGAACTCAAAATAGAATTTCAGAATCTAATCATGATGGTGAAACATGTGCTAAATCCCACGCCCTAAATTAGAAGCTTTTCCCTAACTCCAACTAACTCAACATTTATGTGGTCAAACAACAATCTTGACTCTTGAGTTAGTCGTTACTAGTATCTAAACTCTAGATTCAAGTACAAACTTTCTAAAACTCTAAGCATAAAATTACTTTACCTTATATTTCTTGGAAATAAAGCTCTTTTTTTATGGTAGTTCAAATGTGGTTGACCCACTATTATGTTTCTTCATTGTTCCTACATCAGCAAATTGTACACCTAAAGTTCTTAGTAGACCCTATGTTTTGTTTAAAGTATTACACTTTATCATATCGATGCTTTTAAATTAACTACAGTATAACCTCGCTATTTTTTCTTAAAGTTTTTTATTACTTCATTAGCTTTCTTAACATTTTATTAAAGAGCAGTGGAGCACTTTATATGAAGTAGTAAATTCAAGTGTTCTACTCAACCTCTTTAAAAATTTGTATCGATTAAGCTGTAACACTTATTAAATAATATTATTATTATTATTATTATTATTATTATTATTATTATTATTATTATTATGAAGGCGTGCGACAGCTCATATTTTCACTAGGATAGGCTTTGCGATAGTTAGAAGAGTGGGGCTCAGATTGTATCTCGGCTTCCCACTAATTAATTGTAGGTTGTATGACTATTATTTTTGAGAAATAATAATAATAATAATAATAATAATAATAATAATAATAATAATATTTTTTTTAAAGAAAAAGTTGCTTTTTATATCTTTGCTAAGCTTTTCTCTCCTTTTGAACGAAAAACAATAAAAATGGGCACTTAGAAGAATGAAGACACCTAAGTTTCCATATGTAGGGAGGCCCAACCACGTGATTGGTTTTGGTTGGAAGAACTAATACATCATCATATCTCTACCTCTTTTCTTTTTCATCTTTCAATTGCATGCATCATGTTTCTTCATTTTTATTTTATTTTATTACAAGAGTATATAATATATAATGCGTTAATTTTTATATTATCGACCCAACTATATTATGTGTCTTGTTAGTTGATGTTTGACGTTGTATTATTTTGTTAAGATTACAAGTTTACATCTGTTGGAACTCTGGCCAAACACTATATCATAACAATAATAGCACTAATACAATAGTTAATTACAACGCACTGCACGTAAAATTCTCGATATTCTAATTATAAAATTACGTAGTACATACTCCATATAAAACAATATTACCACAAATAATTTGCTTTTTATGTTTGTAAAAATTGTGACAAACTACGAAGTAATGGTTATACTAAATCAAAACTAAGAAAAAAAAAAAAAAACCTAAGATAGTATTTAGTATATACAAAGTACAATATGTAAATTTTCATTAGGTTTTCTCGAAGTTATGTGAAAAAAATAATCACCAAGAATCTTTAGATGTAAACAAAGTCGTAAATAAAACAAAGATCATATGTCAAATTGCCAATGGCTAGGACAACATAAATAGGATTTTAAAATAGTTTGCTTTGTGCAAGTTTCAACACATATAAATAGAAGGAATAAGGGTTGTAAATTATATTGCTTTTTCAATTTACGGGCCTGTTTTGATTGACTAAATCGAGCTTAGCTGAACTGAAATGAAATGAACTAAACTCAACTGAACTTATTGAGCTGAACTGAACTGAGTATTTTATGAGAGAATGAAATTAAGAACTAAAGTGAACTGAATTGAACTGAACTTATTAGAGCTGTACTAAACTGAAATGAATTAAAATAATATAAAGAGAACAGGTCTTCATACGGACACAATAGGATATCAATCCATTATTTTTACTAGATAGCCTTTTTTCCCTAGAAAATTAGATAAAATTCTTTTGGAACTTGATCTCCAAAATAGGTCTTTTTACTCAAATACCAAGATCAAATTCTTGAGATATATGTTACATGTATCTAATTAATTTCATCTAGTATCTTACTACCAAACAAAGATCAACATAATTTGTTAGAAAAAACCTTTTAAAACAACTTTTTTGTTCAGAAAAACCTTATAAATTTTTTTTGGCAATTTAAAACCTGATTGTAAATTTTTTTTGTTGAAGACAACCAAAGGTCATTTTCCAGCATTTACTTCTTCTTTCCGGCATTGACTCCCATGTGACATGCACATGCTCATTTTTTTTTACTAATTCCACCCCCTTTTCTTCTTTGTTCCCTCTAATTTACCTCTAGTTCCCTCTTATTAAACCTTGTTTAATTATTAACCACCAGTCCACCACCATCGCTTCCACCACCACCAACTAACCCTCCCTTCTCCTGTCAGCAACCCCTCATCCCCTATTCCACATGCCGTCCAAAACTCCTCACCCTCCACTGCCGACCGACCTCCCACCGCGACTACCCAGACAAACCCTAACCCCCGACAACCCTCTTGCCTCCCTTCTCCCACCACGAATTTCAGAAGGGGAAAGGGGTTCGAGTTGAGAGAAGTTCAAAATAGTACCATTTGAAGAATCAAGGTCTTTGATTTCCCAAATTCTTTGGTTGAATTCGATGTTGAGGACATCTTTAATAGTATGATTATTGCCTTTCACGAATCGCCCAATTCGAACTTTAGAGTTGAGCAATAGGGTCGGTCGCCAGTGGACGCGACTCGCTAGGGGTGGGGAGATCTGACGGCCGGTGGGATGGGGGAGGGTTAGGGTGGTTGGATGGTGGTAGAGGTGGTCGTGGGGTTTTTTTTTCTTTTATTTATTTATAAATTAATTTATATGTTAAGTGAGTTAAATTAGAGGGAAATTAAAAGGTAATTAGAAGAAATGGGGTGGGAATAAGAAAAATAGACATGTGCAGGGCACATGAGGGAGTCAATGCCGGAAATAGTTTAGTCAACGCCGGAAAGTAATCTTTGGTTGTTTTCAACAAACAAAATTTACAATCAGATTTCAAATTACCAAGAAATTTTTATAAGGTTTTTCTGAACAAAAAAGTTACTTTAAAAGGTTTTTGCTGACAAATTTTCCTAATTTTTAATGACATTCCTTTCAATGAGTTCATCATATATACCCAATGCATAGATGTACTTGTCTCTGAATCGGAGAGATTGAGTGATTGACCATAACGTACTATCTACCCAATTAACTACATGTCTTATTTATTGATCATTTATGGAGTATTATTGTTTTGTAAAGACTCAGACATGTGTTCAACATTTGGTCAAATACTCAGTATTGCCAAAATAGTTGATACTTGCTAGTACTTCTATCTCAAAGCACTAGTCACTTTCGCTTTTCATTATTCATTATAATTTTAGGGTAATGCTACACATATATATAGCCCTTAAGGCTATATATAAGCATTAAAAAAATTCTTGTAAATTGTATAAAATTAGGAATTCACGACAAAAACACGCGTAGATCAGTGTAATTAGTGTGAATTTGTCATGATTTTCTAAATTTAAACAGTTTTTAAGAGTATTTTTAATGCTTATATGTAGCCCTAAGAGCTATGTATAACATTTTCCATAATTTTATTATCTTCTTCTCAAACTATATACAGTCACATATATCGTTCTAATTTTGAACATTAGCAAAAAATTAAAAACTTTACGAGTAAATTCTCATTAAATTAGTATGTATGAGAAATTAAAATCAAAAGTGAATCTTGTTGATTTCAGTCTCTATAAGCATTTTTTTAAAAAAATCTTCTAGTATGTAACAAATTAGTGCATTGGAGACCATGTATAGGGCCTGTTCATATTTAATGAACTGGGTTGAACTGAACTGAACTGAATTAATTGGAGCTGAACTGAACTGATTGGAAAAATTAAAATGCATAAATATATATGAAAACGTTTATGAAAATTAATGATAATATATATAGTGGATTGTGGAAAATATAAAAGTGTTATAAAAATAACTCTGTATTTTAAATTATTATATTTTAAATTATTAAATTTTGTTACATTATATTTTAAATATATATATAAATAAAAAGTATTCTTCAATATTTTACTGTAGTCAATCGCATATGCTGCAGTTTCTCAAAAAAAAAAAAAGCTACTTTCTTTAATTATTAAAAAATCGTTCAACTATATAAAAAAAATGTGACCATTTTGAACGATGAATATAATTTATAATAATAATAATAATAATTATTATTATTATTATTATTATTATTATTGTCGTTGTTATTGTAATATGCTAAAACATCTAAAACAAAAAAAATAAGAATTGAACTGAACTGATTAGAGCTAAACTGAAATGAATTGAACTGAACTGATTAGAGCTGAACTGAATTGACTTAAAATAAGTAAATATAAACAGTCCCTTAGATGCTAATAGTTCAATACAACGACGTCTACCCTACAAAGTTTATTTGAAAAAAATCTAAAAACATAGAGTAGCAATCTTATTACAATAATTATAACCTTTGTATAAACATCAAATTCTAACAACTATTTGAAGACACAATTCTTCAACATAACAATGAAATGACTGTTGTACAACTGAGTAAAAAAGGTGTCCATTAAATTGATGTATATGCCATTATATAGAGGTAGGACATGTTAATTAATTGAATGTAGTGGACAAGAAAGAAAGGACTTATCATTTGTGTCATCATAAATAAATATCTAAACTATTACTCTTTCGTAGTCTTAATTTCAATAATAACCAACCCTCAGAATATCAAAAGCTAATGTTTTCCAACATCTTTTTATCACAAGACAACGAACTTTAATTCATGTCATAGAAAGATATGTCTATCTACCAGATCACCAGATGGTTGAAAAGAACGCCAAAAGGACCAACTGATAAGATGTATTGTGTTGCCTAGGAATTAAATCGATCTACTGTACCAATAAAAGTTTGAGGTTTAAATGTTGGGATCAAAAGTGAAAATTAGATACTCGGTAATCACATAAGTTCAATATCATTTAAGGCTTAGCTTGCTCCGATTTACTGAAAACAACTGAATTGAACGGAGTTGAACTGAACTAATTTATAAGAGAAGGAAATTAGAAACAAAACTGAACTGATTGGGGCTGAACTGAAATGAAATTAAGCTGAACAAAACAGGTCCTTATGAGGAGGAGTTCTTAATGTTTTCTTTTTTCGTACCCTTAAAAAAACACTTATCAAAGTATATACTGTATAATATTAAATCTAATCTAATGACGATATACTAATTACGGAGTATTATTAACGCTTAATTAAGATGAATGTACAAAGTACCATAAATCTCCCATTTGGCACTAACTCTTTAGTCTTTACCATTCCATTTCCACATGCCTTTGCTCTCACGCATTGTATAATCCAAAAGCTGTCCCAAAACACTAAATCCAACTTCCACTATTCATCCCCCACTTCACTATATATTCCAATGCTCCCTCACTTTTTTCCTACTATCTTCTCCCACTTTCTTCTTTTGTGTTATGGGCCTTCTCCAACTTTCTTCTTTGCTAATTATGCTTCTTTCACCATTTTCTCTTACAAATATAATCATAATAACTTACAACCCATGACATTTATTCTTTTTCTTCATTTATTCACACCACCACCACCACTTATGGCAACTAATTCTTCTTATCACTCTCTCTTTTCTTGCATTGTCTCTCTTTACACCCTAATTTTTCTTTACTTCCCTTGTGTTTTCGTAAAATCGTTACTCTCTCCTCTCCTGGTCTCCACTCTAGTCCTCCTACTCACCCTGTTGCGACTAGGCACGTCGCAACAACTTAAGCAAGAACAACAGCAACAACAACAACAAAATATAGATTTTGCCGAGGGTGTAAAGACACCCCGGCAAGTTATAATTCAAAACGACTTGGAACCTAATCTTAAGCCCGAATCCGGCCCGATACAAGAAGAAAGAAATGTTGTCAAAGCCCGTTCTACAACTGAGCCCGGCCCGAAACCGGAACATCTCAAACATGTAACGTGTGATCCAGGTCGGTCAGTTGAGATTATTGATTCGTTTGAAAACCAGGAGCACAAGAAGGAAAAGGGTTGGGCCGGGCCGGAGAGTTTGGAATGGGCTGAGCCCGAACCCGAATACGGGCCGAAGGTTTTCCTAGATTGGGACGTGGGTGCGCCACTAGAGGTTATATATGAAGCGTATGAGGGGGAGGAAGAAGGAGAAGAATCACAAAACGACGTGTTTTGTAAGGCGGGAATAATAAAGAGGTACCCATCACTTTCCCGGTATTACCCGGAATCGGAATCGGATTCGGGTTCGGATTCGGATTCATATTCGTATAGTTCTTCGTCATTTGATGAAGAGGAAAGAGAGGGGCTAATTGAGATAGCTCTAGATGATTATGGGTATAATTATGGTGATAAGAAGATGATTAACATGCTAATCAAGCCTAAATCAGGAGATCAGAAGGCAGTTTATCATAATTTTGATGATGAGGATAATTTAATTGAGATTGAAATTAATCCCACAAAAAATATGTCTGATTTTCCTTGGTGAGTTTTAATTTTAATTTTTTGGTGGGTGTAGTTGTATAATTTATTAATTTTGGAGTTAAATTAAATTCTAGTACGGAAATGATGTTACATGTTTTGCATGTTTCTGTTAATATATGCTAATTATTAACTACTACATAATTAATAGCTTGTTGAACGTCAACACTCAATAGGGCTTCTAATTTAATTGAAAGGTATTGTGTTATTAGTAAATTAACTTGTACTTTCATTATCATAATTGATAAAGTAAGGATGTCCCATCATCAAATGAAATATAAGAAGTGTAATTTTCAATGATGATATTAGACACTTGTCACACTTTAGATTAGCTCCATCTAACCACGTTTGTATGAGTACCTATACAAGGGCCTGAATGTTCGTTAATGGTCGCATGTTACAATAATATGCGCCTTACGTTAGAGAGCAACAATTGAGAATGAGATTTGGCATAGAAGTTGTCCATGTACGTAATCCCTAGACTCAACATCATAACCTAATATTTGATATGCCGAGAAATGTATCTCATGTGCATAGAACTATAGGCGTATCAAGTAAGGGGCTTGAGTGACACTTTTCCGCCATTTTAGCTAGAACCTAAATTATAGTTGAATGAATAATTTAGGATCCTATGGGTATTATTTACGAACACAAAGAGCTAATACTCCGTAATCACCTAGCCATTATTTGAAAGGATTATTGCTAGACAACCCTCCTCCTTAATTCAAACAAAGACTCTTTCGAATGTAACCCCTCGAATAAAGCTTCCGTTTGTTTTGCTCGCATCACTAATAATGGGTTCAAGTGTTCAACGAATTTGATACTGTATTTAACTCCGAATAGAATTTATGAAGTTGTAAAAAACAATAGAAATTCCTTAGGGAACTCTAAAATCCAAGAGATAGTAACTTGGAGTAACAAACTTACAATCCAACACCAAATAAGTGAATAACCAATCTTTTATACATCGATAATGATATCAACACGTACCAATTTTAATTACCAACACAAACAATCAATTTGACCAAATAGTCCACAAAATGTTCCCTCTCCCGTCTTTAATGTTCTTCATTCTCATTTTGATTGTGCATGTTTGTCAATATATTAGTTTGACCATAAATATTTTTAGTTATTTAGTTATATATTAGTGAAAAAGTATAAAAGTTGAATATTAATAAATTGTTCATTGAGATGAATTAAAAAAAAACACAATATAACTACGTTTTGTTTATATATTAAGAGTAATTTTGAAAATTTTCTGATCTTGAAAATGTTGACAAGATTTCGAATGGAAAGAACAAAAAGAATCGAAAGGAGTACTAATAATTACCAAATGTGAGGCCAATAAAATCTAGTTTGCTAATGAAATGATGACCTATAACGCGATTATAAGAAGAAAAACCAAGTTGCTAGGGAATTAGGGGAAGATGTACATTATTATAGATCGATCATAATAATGCTACAATAATATGATTGTACTTGAGTCGACCAAATGGATAACACTTCCTGTTTGGGTCCAATTTAGTCCAATTGGGCCTAGGCATTAAATGATCCAATTAAAAGCCCAAGGTCAAGGTTCATCTCTCCAATTGTGCTAAAGTCAAAGATCAGTCCTCAAGGCAAGCCAATTGGGCTAAGGCCCAACTTCTTCATATATGCAAAGGTATAAAAACCATCAATATTACATTTGTACAGGGATTCAAGAAAAGCCTCAAGCAATTAATTCTCTTGCATAGTGTTCTCTTTCTACACACTGTACTGACTTTAGCATCGGAGGGGCCTTCCTCGGCAACACCCCCGAGGCTAGTTTACGTGTGTTTACTGTGCAGGAAACCTTCGGCCCAACATCACTTGGACCGAATCCAGTCTTCTCCATTTCATCGGACCTTCGACAAGGTCCCATTGTTTTCACCCGAAACAATTTGGCGCCGTCTGTGGGGAAGACTTTCAAAAATCTTTAAGCCAAATTCTAACCAAGATCATCTTGCAATTATCTTAGTAGCAATGGCTAAGAACCGCAAGAGCAAAGGCCTCCGTCAAGGAGCAGGCGAAAAGCCTAAAACCCCTACACCATCACCCTCGCCGGACCGGAACTCTCCCAAGGGGGCCAGCTCGGGGGGAGGATCATACAGGGAGGATTCCCTTTCTCCCGTAATTCATAACTCTCATCATAGGCCGAGTCACTCTCGGTCTAGCAGGGGTGAGTCCGATCATAGGACACATTCAGTGCCCCAAAGCCAACCATCGACTGTGCGCCCTCATTCCCATACTCGGCCGAGGACCCCTTTGACGGGGCTCAACTCGGAGGATGTGGCAAGAGCGCTGGCAGTGCTCATGGAGGCAATGAGGGCACAAAATATGCCACCACCTCGTGATCGAACTCCTCCGCATACCCGGCATCAACGGAGGAAGCTAGACCATGATGGTGGGAAGTTTCCTTCCTTCCGGGAACTGGAAGAGTGGGAAGAGGATACCTGGAAAACTGAAAAAGAGAGGAAAAAGAACCCTCAATTTTTCAAAGGATCCTCATCCTCCCGACCAGAAACGCATAAGAGCAGCAGCTCAGCTTCTCGGCCAGAATCTACTGACCGAGGACAACCTGAGACTGTTCGCCGAAGCGTCCTCGACCGACTCGGCGGCAAGGAACCGAGCGTGCACAGTCGCCTCTCGTTCCCTGCGGCCGAGGCCCAGACTTCCCAGCCAGGGACGAAAACCACTCCTACCTCTCTAAGAGGGCGGAGCGCGGTCCCTTCGGCCAGGAACAAGGGCAAGGCCGTTATGCTACCCGCCAGTTCGCCATTCGAGCAATGGATACTGGAAGAGCGCGTGCCCACGGTTAAAATACCGTCGCACATCACATATGATGGGACCTCGGATCCGAAGGACCACGTGGCCTCGTATGAGACTCATATGCATCTTTGCCCAAGATCCGAAGCGACTTGGTGCAAATATTTCCCAACCACTCTCAAGGGGGTCACGCAAGCGTGGATCTCCAAGGGAGTAAAGCAAGGCTCCATAACAGGGTGGGATGATCTGTCCTCCAAATTTAGGAGCAAGTTTTCCACGGCAAACCGCCGAGAGAAGACTACTGCAGAACTCATGAGTCTGCAACAGGGGGAAACCGAAAGCCTCCGAGACTATCTGACCCGTTTCAGTAACGAGTCATCCAGCGTCTCTCAGCTGGACCAGGGGCTAGCCGTTTTTGCAATGCAGAATGGCCTTCAGCCCGGGAAGTTCCTAGACTTCATGGTCATGCATACCCCGCAGACCTTGGAGGAAGCTCTGAATGCCTCGGATAAGTTCATCCGAGCCGAAGAATGGAACAAAGCGAAAACCCAACCTCAATTCGGGGGAGGGAAACAAAAACAAATACCCTTGTCTGAAGGCCAAGGCCATAAGGCAAAGGGAAAGTCAAAGGCCTCGGAGCAATCTTCGGCCAGCGACCCAAAGAAGGAAAAATCTGCCTCATACACAGGCAGATACGAGTCCTACACTCCGCTCTCTCTTCCACGCGCCAAAATTTACAGCGTGGCGAAGGAGGAGCAGAGTTACCGAAAGCCGAGACCACTCCCAGAGTGGTATCAGCGAAAAAATAAAAATCAGTGGTGCGAGTTCCACGAATCTCCGGGACACAACACTGAGGAGTGTATCCAACTGAAGGACCAGATAGAGGACATGGTCCGGAAGGGATACTTGAAAAAATACATCGCGGATCACCGCGAGAAAAAAGAGTTCGAGAAGTCAGCAAAGGACTCTCGGCAAGACCTCGACTTTCCCCGGAAGAACAGTAAAAAGCCAGAGGGGAAATTCTCTCCGATCAATGTTATCTCGGGAGGAATATGCTCTCGGAGGGAGCACAAGCGACACCTTAGGGCTTTGACTCACCAGGTGAACAACGCTGACATTCAGTCTCCCCAATCGCCGGTGCCGAACATGACGTTCACAGCCGCCGACTGCCGGGGGGTAACGTTCCCTCACGAGGATCCGTTGGTGATCATCGCCACGGTGGCCAACCACGACGTCAGTAAGGTCCTTGTTGACGGTGGCAGCGGAGCAAACATTCTGTTCCGAAAGGCCTACAATCAAATCAAGCTGAAGCCCAAGCACCTTACGCCGGTACCCTACCCGGTATCCGAGTTCAACGGGGCTTCAACTTATCCAGATGGGAAGGTGACACTTCCTATTACCATCGGCTGCGATGAGGCAGCCAGGAACGTCATGATTGATTTTTTGGTCATTGACGCTCCTTTAGTGTACAACGTGATTTTGGGGAGACCCATAATTCATGAGATCCAAGGGGTCGTCTCAACTTATCATCAGCTGATGATTTACGTCTCAGACGCTGGCTTCCCCGAAAGGATACAGGGCAACCAAAAGGACGCCCGAAGGTGCAACTACCTCAAGCCATCCAGTAGTCGCCCAAATGACGACAAGGATGAGGAGGAGAAAGAAAAAGAAAGAGAGCCAAGCACAAAAAAGCCGAAAGGCCTAAGTGCTTCGGCCCAAGGATCTGTACCCAGAGGTAAAGGGCCCAAAAGGGAAAAGGCTAACTCTTCAGCTGAACAGCAAGACTCAGAGAGTCAGCCGAAGAACAAAAAGACTGGGACACCTGCTGACATAGGCAGCAGGCCAGATTCTGAAGAGTCCAGTCCATCAGCAATGGACATGGACCAACAGACTGAAACAGTTGAGTTGGCCGAAGGAGACGTTGAGAAATGTGTAACAATCGGGATGGACCTTGATCCGAACACCCGTTGTGAACTTATTCAGCTCCTTCGGGACAACAGAGATGTGTTTGCTTTCTCGGCAGCTGATATGCCCGGGATAAGTCCAGACCTCATCTCCCATAAGCTTAATGTTGACCCAACGTGTCGACCAATTAAGCAAAAGAAGCGGAATTACTCCGCTAATAAGAACCGAGACATCGCAGCCGAGGTCAAAAAATTGCTGGAGGCAGGCTTCATCGAGCCTTGCCAATATCCAGAATGGCTGGCAAATGTGGTGATGGTTCAGAAGGCCAATGGTACCTGGAGGATGTGCGTTGACTTCACGGACCTAAATAAGGCTTGTCCGAAGGATTTCTATCCCTTGCC